TATAATATATATATATATATATATATATATATATATATATATATATATATATACATACAAAATATATGTACAACTAGTATTTATATTCAACCAAATGTTTTCTTTCGACCTTTTCTATATTTTTCTCGAATATTTCGCTTTGAAATAATTGAAATAGTTGATGATACATTTAGTAACGCGTGTTCTGTAATACCGTGCGGACATAATGTCACAACCACAAGATTGGGCATTGATATATTTGAATAAAAGAAGCAATAAAATAAATTGCAGTACATGTGACATGCTTGCTGAGCACGATAACACTCTTAAATTAAAAATACACTTATATTTTGAACATAACGTATCTAATGTTGAAGAAGACGAAAATTGGGAAAAGTGGCCAGTCAATCCTACATCGGTCTGGCGATATTTTACAAAAGACAAAACATTTACTGCGAAATGCAAACTGTGTGGCCAAGTAATACGTGCATATGAAACAATATATTTGGAACGGCACTTTTTTGAGAATCATAACGAAGAAATAAAAAATTTGCAAAATACAATTAAAAGTTGTTGGTTAAATCAATATTTAGAATTATGTTATGAAGAGAATTATATTAATGTAAACAAATTAGCATTAATAAGGTGCTTAAATTGTCCTGATAATGTACGTATAAGTATATTTTTCGGAATAGAAAATTTAAAGGATCATTTGCTTAAATCTCACAATATATGTGAACCATCAATATATAAAAATAGGAAAAGAAATAAAGCGAATATAATACAAGTAGATACTGAGGAAAATAATGCGAGTACAAGTTTTCAATAGCGGAACATTTTTGAAAATCATCGAAAATTAACGATTTACTGGTAAATACACAAACATTATTTTTATCTTTCTCAAAGCAATATAATAAAATTTGATAACAACGAATATTTTAAGAACTGTATATGTATGTAATTTATTAAAATATTATAATCGAAATGTAGCTGTCATAAATATTAAATTAAAATATTTTTACTTAATCAAATGTACACTAAAATTTTGTTAATTTATTAAATTATCTTATAATATATATGTCAAAAGTGGACTATTTAATACAAATTTATTATTAGTTATTTATTAATTCATTTAGCATTATTTTGACAATTATAGTTACATATTTAACAACATAAAATTTAATCAAGAATAACAACTTGCATATATCATAACATAGTATAAATATTAAAATTAAATATTTCTACATACTTATTGTAATATTTATTAAAATTTAAATTCATTATCTCCTTTATTTTTTTATTTAAATATTCAATAATTGATTAAAGTTTTTATTTGAAAATGTTTCCGCATGTAAATAAGTAGATATTCAACTATTCAGACATTTAGATAATAAGAAACAAATTTTTAAATAATAATCGAATACACATAAATAATATATCTTTTTATACTTTTAATAATACTTATTGAACTCTCTGATTACAGATTACGGTGCAACTTATAAGGAAGTTTAAAAAGCAAGCAATGATGATACTAATTTCAAATTAAATGTTGAAATCAGGAAAATAATAATATATTTGTATCTTATCTTAAGAATTAAAATGCTTAGATGTAGAACATAGGATTTAATTATTAGATAAGATACAAACTAAGTTCAATATTTTTAACTCGTATCGTTCTTCTTTCACTGATTTTCACTGAACGGTTTTACGAAATGGTCATCCTAGTTGATATATATATATATGTTGATATATATATATATATATAATATTTTTTTTTTTTCAATTACTTGCTTTGTACGGACATAAGAAGAGATTGATTTTTGAAGGCGCATTTATACTTTTTTCATAATGTATCTAATGACGAAGAAAACAAATGATGAAGACAAAGAATGTTGATATTAATTCGGCTTGGTAAAATTGCATAAAAAAAGAAATACATATTGTGGAACACAGACTTCAGATATGTAAAATATGATAAAAATATATACAACAACTTTAGACAATTTCTAATTCTTGATATATATAGAAGAAATTTTTCGAAAGGATGTTTAACATATCATATTATGTTAGTGAATGATAGTAATAGTAAGTATAGATAGTAATAGTTCTCATGACATTTCAAATAGTTGAAATATATGAAGACGATAAAATGCACTTATTGCAAATATAATCTGAAAATACATCTTGAAATAGAAGATTTAAAATTTTATTTGCTAAATATTTATGACGCATGTCACGCTTCAAGACAGAATAGCAATAACATTATAGAAAGGAAGAATTTAGGATATAATGACATATTATTTCTTGAATAAGATGCAAATCTTAATATACAGTTAAAGTTTCGTTAGTCTATATATATCGTCATGTATTTAGTATTTAAACGTTTAATATATTTAGAAGTAATTGTGCTAAAGACAAATGGTACTTGATTTCGAATATTTGACTTCTTAGATAATTAATGAAAAAAACCTAAATTTGATATAATTAAATAATATATTTAACTGAAATATATTTAACTGAAATATTACTGAAATATTACTTTATACTTAATTCTTCGAAACTATTTTTCATTATTAATCTCTGTTTACAGATGACATAGCAAAATAAATAAATAACGAATAACGATAATGCTGGTTTCCAAATAGATACTGACATCAAATCATTTTATCAAATAGCCTCAAATAGCCTCTTTTACACTTTCGTAAAAATATTAATTGCCATACGAAAACGAAAACTTTTATTGTCACTTTCTCGAGAATGCTTTCTCGAAAATAGTATTTCTGATGACTTCAATATAATATTAATATTAATAAATATAACATGCTTAGAAAATCTCATTGGTGATGTCGACTGTATTACATAGACGAGTTTCCATTGTGAAACTTGCTTCAAATTTCAATATTTTATATATCAAATAATAATAAATGTCATCAACGTTTTTATGATTTTATCGATTTTTTTTTTCTGATATCATTTCCCAACTGTTTTCTATTTCAGAAGAAAACGTAGAATATTCACGACGGCCTATGATGATACAGATCATAAATATCTGTCACGATCAGAATGAACTAATTTGCAAAAATTTATTAAGAAATAATGAGATTCGTTACGCGGCATCCGGTGAGGTAGAGAACAATGGCCGAGATATTAAATGAAATAATCAACTGCCTGTCGTAATAAACTCAAGGATGACAGTTTGAAACCTCGTCGCCTTGGATCGTTCGCCGAGATTCGCGGAAATTACTCGAGCTTCCGCATGTACCGAGGATCACCGGGATTAATCCGCGATCCCGACTTCGGGATAACGTCCTGCAAACCCGTGCGTTTTACGCTTTGCTTCGCAAATGTTTCACGACGCAAACGACGCGCGCGTTCATCTCCGAGAGAGATCGTAAACTCGGCGACGAGCAAATAGAGCGCGCGTGTGCTTCCTGCCGTCTTGCGGATAGCCTATCGATCACTTAATCTGAGCTGAGATACGCTAACCTCATCCCCCTGGCAAACCTTTTACAACGTTCTTCTTTACTCCGTGATCGCGCGATCGACGAGCTCGCAATTTAATGGACTCTCCATCTCGAGTATAAGCTGCAAAATCGCGATCGGTAGACCGTCAAATTGCGCCGAAGCCTGGTTGATGGAACAGGGTCGCCGAAAGATAGATGAGATCGCTCGCAAGTTTCCGAAACTTGCGGGAAACGTGACGAAATTTTTAAGTAAATTACGAACGCGTGAGTCTTTGAGATTTGTGTGTTCCCTACGAAACAGGAGCTGTAAAGAAGTCAAGTAGATTGATAGGATAAATTTTCCATTCCTGTTTGTTAAAAAAATTAGCACATTTCAGCGCTATTGGAATATTATTAACGTGATATCCGATAAATATTAAAAAAATTATTGGAGCCTATGTAATTAAAATTACTAAAACTTGTACTTACGAGAGATACCTAATTTTCAAATGTAATATAAAAATCAAAGTTATTTATTTTTTTATTAAAAATGCTCACTTTTATTATTTTAATACTTAATACAAAATAAGCTGTATGATAAAAAAAGTAGCTTGGGTTTTTATAATACTCCGATGTGTTCGTGGCACGACAAAAATACACGTATGCCCGCTTACAGAAACCGGCGCATGTTACAACAAATTATTATAATCGAGTTGTTTGACAAGGAATCAAGAAAAAATTGATGAGGGTGGAGAGCAAAAGAAAAGGAGAAGAACTTTTTGTGTTGATGAGGTCGACCAATTCTGCAGCCTGACGAGCGTTTCGAGTTTCACCTCGTAATCACTTTCGTTCACTATTCACGTTATTGCCAATCAAGTCAGTATGATCGCCTTGTCCAGATCGCAAAGATCGATGTTGCTGTTGTCAATCGGAAGAAATCTATCATTTTATTTTCGTAAAAAGAGGAAAACATCTAGATTTTAATTTATTGAGCAAATTCGGTGCCTTTTTTTTATGAAATGTCAAGTTTATTCAGAAAATCAAATAAAAATATACTGAAAAGTATTATGTTAAGTATCCAAGCATAAGTCTAACATAACGTTTCTTCATATAATCTGATTTAAAGTAATATCAGTTTTGTAAATACATGCCGCAAAATTTTTATACAAAGCAAATATTGACATGAGTTCTGGATGTCATATTAAAATAGCAAATGAAAAAAAGACTTAAATTAAAAAAATTTTTTCATTCCTGATCAAAGATGCAAGGATCAATGTTTCTTATTTTACTACTAACTTTATTTGCTCAAGTTTACGACTTCGTTGGTTGAAACCGTTGCACTGAATATCGTATTGATAATCCTTGCGATAATTCTAGAAATATGCGAAGGATCTGTGGAACGATAAAAACTGGCATGTGGGTGGCATCGTGGAGTGCATCGTATAACGATGCTCACGATCGTTACGCTAAAACATTGCAATTCGATCCGCGTTGCGTACACATTTGCGTCAGTTGTTGTGCGCGCGTGGCTGGCACGTGGATTGCAAAAATATCTCGGTGATAAATCATGAGCCGTTCCGGTGAAACAACAGTTCACGAGTCGAAGGGTTGAACGTAAAAGTAAATTTGGTGCACTCTTCCATGTGAGAAAATAATAGTGGAAAATTCTCTTTTTAGAAAAGCTAAAACTAGCATCAAATTTAACGTTAACTGTTGTAAGGAAAATTTTTTACATTAATTTTTAATTAAATAAAAATACATAAATAATAGAATATTACAAATAAAATTAATCAATAAAAAAGTAATAACAAATATT